TAGTAGGACTCTTCCCCTAAGTCTTCCCCAGAGATACTTGTGGCCATTTACCAGAGGACTGTGCATTGGGAGAAAGAAAGAGTCAGACCTTCTGGGGTTTCAAATACTGGCTCCATACTGATGCTTATCCCCAGAAACACAGAATGCCACTGTGGTCCATCAATCAGGGTAGAAAATTATTAAGGTCAGGACACAGATAGACTCTGGATCAGAGTCTGTCTGAAGACCCAGCCTGAGACTATTTCCCTAGGCTTAGAATTTTTTCTAATTTAAATAGATAAATTTATTGATTGGCAACATGCTCATATTGAGTTCCTTCTCATAAAGTGAGGGCTACTATGGAAAGAGTACAAAGGGGAAGCCCTTAGAATTCTTCCTCTCCCCCCTGCCAAGATAATAAACCAAAACCCAAAAGCCATACTACATCCCTGGGGAAGTTACTAGAATTAGTGTCATCATCAAAGACTTGAAAGATGCTGGGATATTAATTTCACATCCCAACTTAATTTGCCTTTTTGGCTCTGCAAACCATGTAGGTTTGCAGAGAATGCCAGTAGATCATCACAAACTTAACCAGCTTGTAAAGCCAATTGCAGCTGCATTTCTGCATGTGCTGTCTTTACTGGAGCAAATAAACACAGCCCTTGAGACTTAGAATACAGCTATTAACCTGGAAAATGTTCTTTAAACCCTGTATTATGAGCAAAGATTACCAGAAGGAATTTGTCTTCACAGGCAGGACTGTATTGCTTCATGTCTATACCAACTCTCCAATTCCTTGTCATAATAAGTCCTGGGGACCAGGTGCTGGTCCATTATATTAATTAAATTGTATAACTGAATCTGTTAAGCAAGAAATAGCAAACACACTAGATGCCTTAGAAAGATAAATGCATGCTAGAGAAATCCATTCAGGGGTTTGCTATATTGGTGAAATTTCCAGGGATCCAGTAGTCTAGGACGTCTCAGAATATCCCCTAAAAAGTGACGGACAAATTCTTGTACTTTGTATTTCGCAGCATGAAAAAAGAGGCACAATACTTGGTGGGCTTCTTTGGATTTTGGGGTTAACACATTTCTTGTTTGGGCATGCTGTTTTGGTCCATATACAGTGTAGCCCATGAAACTGCTAGTTTTGGTGGGTCCTAGAGCCAGAAAAGGTTATGCAGAGGATCCAGGCTGGGATGTAAGCTTGTTCGTCCCTTAGGCCCTGTGATTTAACAGACCCAATGGTTTTCGAAGTGTTCGTGGCAGATAGAAGTGCTGCATGGAGCTCTTGTGAGCCCCAGTTGAAGACTCACGGGGCATATCCCTAGGGTTCTGAAGTAAGGCCATGTCCTCTTCTGCTGTACTGAAAATCAGCTCCTGGATTGCTATTAGTCCATTACAGAGACTGAACTCCTAACCACAAAACATGAAATGACTATTCAACTTAAACTGCCCACCATGAGCTTGGAATGACTTGAACTACGAAATCATAAAACTGGACATGAACAGGAACATTCTATTAAAAAAATAGTGGTATATAGGAGACCAGACCTAAGCATACCTGAAAAGGCAAAAGTAAATTTCATAAGCAGGTAGCTCAGACACCCACAGCATCTGCTCCTACAGCTTTTCTACCCATTTCTTAATCTACACCTATAGATAGTTTCATAGGGATGTCTAGAACAGAGGAGAAAAAGTGTAGGCCTGATTTACATATGAATCTGTATGCTATGCTGGCCCTAGCTGGAAATAGACGGCTACTGCCATTTCACTGTAGCCCACTGAAGTGGCCCTGAAAAAACAATAGTGAAGGGAAATCTTCCCGTTGGGAAGAACTTGAGGCAGCATATTTGGTTGTTCATTTCGTGTTGGAGGAAATCTGAGATACAGATCTATAGTAATTTATGGGCAGTGGCTAATGGGTTGGCTAGCTAAGCAGGGATTTGGAAAGAAAAAGATTAAAAAATTGGCTACAAGGAGGTGTAGAGAGTGGCACGTGGATGAACCTCTCAGAATGGGCACAGACTGTGAAATTGAAGATATTTGTGTTCCAAATAAATGCCTACCAAAGGGAATCTACTGCAGAGGAGGCTGTCAATAAATGAGAGGTCAAGATAACCCAACCTGTGGATGTCAGTCTTCCCCAGTCACTTGCCGCTCAATGGGTCCATGTCCAAAGTGGTCATGGTGGCAGATATGGAGGTTATGCATGGGTTCATCTGCTTGACTTCCCCTCAACAAATTAGATTTGGTTATTGCCACTGATGAGTGCCCAAACCAGCAGAGATCAACAGAAAACCCCTGATATGGCACCATTCTCTGGTAAAACCAGCCAGCTACCTGGTGACAGACTGATTATATTGGTCTGTTCCATCACGAAGAGGTCAATGCTTTCTTCCTGCAGGGATAGATATACTTTCTGTGTAGTGATTTGCCTTCTCAACTCATGGCACTTCTGCCGGTAACATCATTTGTGGACTTACTGAATGACTTTATCTAAGGTGTCCCACATAGCTTCATTTCTGACCAGGGGATACATTTTTCAGTAAGGGAATTGTGGCAACAAGCTCAACTCATGTAATTCATTGGCTTTACTACCTGCATCATCATTGGCTTTACCACATGCAGCTGTCTTGATAGGACAGTGGAAAGGTCTGTTGAAAACTCATGTGTAGTGCCGGCTGGAACACAACACTGAAAGGGTGCTTACTGGAAGCAGTATATTCCTTAAACCACTGGCCGATCGATGCTGCTATCTTCCTCGTGACTGGAATGCACAGGTTCAAGAACCAAAGGGTTGCGGGGCAGGGTTTGGGGAGTAGCTCCTCTTTCTCGTAAACCAAATAGCCTACTGTAGGAATTTTTTCTTCTTGTTCTGTGACCTTAGCCTCCATGGATTGAAGTTTCTAGTGCCCAGGAATGAAATGCTTCCTCCAGGGAGTACAGTGAAGGGTCTGAGAGATTGGAAGCTGAGATTGCCTGCTGGCCATTTTGGCCCCTCCTGTCACTGAATAAACAGAAAGGAGTCACCTTACTGGTTGAGGTGATTGATTCTGATTACTGGAAATCAATTACTGGAAAACTGGGATGCTGCTACTCAATAGGGGTAAACAGGACTATGTCTAGAACCCAAGGGATTCCCTGGAGCATGTCTTGTTACTCCCTTGCCCAGTAGTTTTAGTGAATGGAAAACTGCAGCACCCAATAAAGAAGAGCACCGAAGAGTCAGGTTCCACAGAAATGAAGGCTTGATTCACCCTCAAGGTGAGGAAGAGTATCCAGCTGAGGTACTGGTAGAGGGTAAGGGGAACATGGAGTGGATGGAAGAAGAAGGCAGCTAGGATTAACAAATTAGACCTTGTGAGTAGCTATAGAATCAAGTAGCGTATCAGCTGACTGCTTAACTATTTCCTCCCCACTCCTGTCTTTTCCTCTAACCACCTTCTATGAATAACACTGGGAATGGCTTAAAAAACGTTTTAGTTGGGAGTATGACCACATTGACCTAACTTATGATGGATGACTCAGAAGCTGATGTCTTTTTATATTTCACTTGGGATAGGGAAAACAGATTTCTCACTCATGGAGGAAGAAAAAGGACCTGAGGGGCAAAAGGCTTGGACTGTGCTGAGTGGCTTCCCCTGACCTTCAACATCCACTGGAAGGAAATTGGAGGATGAGAAGGGAGTGAAGTCAGGGTATTTATAGGCTGACTGTTTTTCTTGACAAAGGTCATAGCTTCTATTAAGTGTCCCTCTCCACAAAGCTCTCTCTCTCTGGGTTCTGGTAACTACATCCTTCTCTTGTGCCTTCAGGCCTATGGGTGGTAAGGGGTGTACCCTACTGAAACTAGCCCTGCGATTCTGCACTATGCTTTGGGATTTCCGTATACTCTCCCCACATCTTTGTAAATAACTCCTTTATTACATCTACCTCAAGTTGCCAAATTTGAGTGTGTCATGTGTTTCTTGTTAGGACTTGATTGACACAGCATGGCTCCCAAGTTGGGCCAAACAGACTTGAAAGACTTTGATGTGAGAGAGACACTCTTTGTATCATAAGATATAAATGTCCGAGCATGCAGTTCTGATCATCATAGGCAATTATCTTACAGACTTGAAGGAACCTGGCTTTAAGTTATGAATGTCAGTTCAGAGAGAATTAAACAATGCTGATTCTTTCTGACATCATAGAATTTTCAGAACAACAACCCCGATCCTGTACTACTTCTGGACTTCCAATTATATGATCTAGTAGACATTTTTATTGTTTTAGCCACTTTGAATCGGATTTTTCCAGCTTTTGAAGCTGAAAGTAACTTAACCGATAGATTCTTGTAAGTAGAATTGATGGGTCAAAGGGCACAAACATTTAGATTTTTAATAGCTCCTGTGAAATTGCTTTCTAAAAAGGCTGTGCTGATTCACGCATCCACTCATACAGTGAGTGAAGCTGTTTCCTTACACCATTGCCCATTGTCTTTTTAATTTGTACCTTTCTGATGGGTGGAAACTGAATCTTGTTATTGCTTTGATTTGCTTTTGCTAATTACTAGTATGATTAACTAGAATTAGTTCTATTTATTGGATATTTATGTTGTTTTCTCAGTGAAATGCTTTTTACATTCATTGCTCACGTAGAATTATTTGCATTTTTCTTATCGATTAGTAGGAACTATTTAAAAGCTTTGGATATCAATTATTAACTTGTTAGATGTGTTGCAAATATTTTCTCCCAGGTACCTTATCCTTTAACTTTCTTCCGTGGTGTGTTTTGTCCAAAATTTTAAAATTTGGATGATGTTCAATTTATCATCTTTTCTTTCCTGGCTTTTGCATTTTCTGTAATGTGGATCACTGGGCAAAGGCTAGAAGTTCTCTGTCATTTGGCTCTTTGTCCAGGAATTTCAAACTTTGGGCATTTAACCTACAACTTTTCCTTAAATGTCATACCGTGAGCTGTTAAGGCTTTAGCTGTTCGCTTTTTATTTTTTGGTTGCACATAAGTGTACAATTTGGTCCTTAGTTGTTTTAAATTTAGAGAAATGTACGTTTGTGTTGGGCCTGTAGAGTTGGGTTCTTTAGTCTTAGTGCTTTTAATGCTTCTATTTATTTCTGCCATTTTGGTGAGTAGTTTGGGGTTATTTTTGTTAATTTGTCCTTCATTTTCACATGAGGGAGAGGAAGCTGTTAAACAGCATGTTGGCTCGTATCCTAAAGTCTGGAGTTTCCTGGAGAAACCAGCTGCAAGGAGACGTGATTGGTCAGCCCACAAGGAAGAAAGTCTTAGACAATGGGCTTGGGCTGCTTGGAGGAGCAGAGGTCTGGGCATGTTCAACTACATCATCCCACCCACACTGGGTAAAGGCTGTACTGTAGAGGCTGCCCTGGCAATTTCCTGGACATTTTCCCAGATCTACTAGAGTACAAATGGCTCCACACTATTCTCCGTGGTTCATGGTGCACGTCATGTTGCCCCATTAGTTCAACTGAGGTAAGTGCTGGTTCTTTTCCCGTAGCAATGCCCAGGCCAGACTGCCAGCCCTGCTTGTAGGTAGCCCTTGATAGGATCTAAGCTACAGTGGCTTTGGTCCTTTTAGGAGCCCCAAGGGAGCTGGTGGGCACTGTAGCAGAGAGCCCTGGATTGGGGAGTTGGGAGTTATAGATTCGAAGTTCAACTACTAATTTGATTCTGTGTATTTGTCAACTGCGGGGACCAGATAACCTCTACTACTTCGTGGTGCCTTCTGCTTTATTAGTCATGATTGTCAGCTTGGTTATATGAATAAGTTATGGAGATTGTGCATCTATGAACAGATTCTAGAGATTCTAGTGGTGGTGAATGCTCAAGTGCTCTCACCCTACCTGGTTTCCACTGATGTTTCCTTGACTTATTAAGATCATAGACATGTTACATGAGTAAACTAGTAGGACTTGTTGTTACCAAGGAAGCATGGATGATCGTATCATAGAGCTTGAAAATTGGAATCTGGACTTATTAATGATCTCTTAAAATTATTTCCATGTATAGGATCTTTGGCTTTATGAGTTCTTACCTGAGTTCAATTCAAGCCACACTTAATGATATGCATAATTTTCATTGTTCTATGTGACAGTAAAACATTAATAGAAAGAATCTGGCAAATTGAGTTATGTTTATATAGCAGAACCGCATTCTTTACTTTTTATAACCAGCATTAACATTGATAGTCTTCTCAAATTTCATTTAATCATATTATTCATCCTTTATACTCTAAAACAAAAGTGCTGGTCCATTTCTTCCGTAGATGGGCTCTCTGCTCTTCAATTATCCACCCCAATGGTTCAGTTCTTCCCTCTTTTCGCCATCACTCCTATTACCTTTAATTTCTCTGATACTCATTCACGCTAAAGTTTAAACTGGGGACTTCAGAATGGATGCTGATTGCTGAGAATTCTGGGATGTGCTGGATCCTCTGAATGTTAGGAAGCTAGGGAAAAGTCAGAATCAAGGGGAATAAGGGGCTGAGGCTAAAAAGGACATGCTATAATACATAGGTTTTTGCAACCTTCATCTGGGCATGAAAAATTCAAGCTATACCCAAAGGCTTTTGGATCAATGAAAATAAAGCTCTCTGGGTTGTGTCCCTTGGATCCTCTGAGCGTCTCCTGGGCTGACTCCTCTCCACCTTTATGGTTCATGCACTCACTAGACTATACTCTCTTTTCAGAGATCTGAGCATCAGTTTTGCATAGGACCACTCCTGAGGTCTGGGCGTCAGTCCTACAAGGTCCCTCCTTTGAGCTCCTAGGTTCTTTTGTTCCCTCTTGTTTCCTTCCTGCAGTTGTTACTATCTGAGATACCTCAGCAACTCCTTTTTACTCTTTAGCCTTCTAACATGTGTAAGCAATTCTTTGTGTTCAATTTCCTTGTGTGGGTTCTGCTTTCTAATTGGGCTCCTGATTGAAACAGAGACCTAAGGAATTTGGAAGCCAGATGATGGGGTCTTTTAGATGCTATTTAGTGGTGAGCATCCCAAGAAAGGGGATATGTTGACTGATACAGAATGGAGGGGCTCTTCAACTGGGCAGAGGGGACTCAAGAGGTGACACTGGCTGAGCCTGACTTTGAACAGAAGTGTGTCTGAATTCATTATCACATTCTCTCCTAGGGTAACAGATAAACTGGAAGCCAAAAGTATGGGATTGGGACCTTAACAGGAAAGGACTATGTTCCTCCAAGGCCAAAAAGGAGATGGGGGTGGAAAGTATGATAGGTTGAGCAAAGAGACTCTTTTCAGGGTGGGAAAGAGGGGCTCACAGAGGTGCTTGCCTAGAAGGTTCTGTCTTATTCTTTGCACTTTTTTTTTTTTTCCCAGCTAGACAGGTGAATATGAAGTTGTAGGTGCTTCTAGTCTGTCTCATGAAATTCACTTCAGTCAAGTTAACTTGTGTCTCCCAAAATTTTTATGCTTGACTTCAGCAGATGGGGTGGGGGGTGAGTGTAACAAACATGATACACACAAAAATAACAATTACCATTTATTGAGAACCTACAAATGTCCTGAACTACTAGAGCAGAGGGAGGGAGATAAGTTGGGATCTGGGGCTCAGTCTTTAGAGAAATCACTGCCTACCTGTATAGTCCTTAGGCGGTTCTGAAGTCCACTGTATTTTGGGGACACCAGGGACCAGGCTTGCCTCAATTAAGGGTGTGCTTCTCAGTGCTTGTTGCTCCCCAAGGGAATGGAGGCGCATCTCTGAGGGGCTGCAAGAGTGTAGGTAGGGGAGATTTCAGCCTAACCCTCCATTCAGGGCTGGCCTGAGATGGAGCTTTTGGATGACCAGGAATGCCATATGGATCTGGCCTGAAGCACACAGCTAATTTTGCAATCACAGGACTCCCTTAGTGGGACTGTAGAAGGCAAGCTTCCCAGCCCCAGGAGATGGACTCCCTCCATGAAGGACCTGACATTTCCAGTCCTAGCTCCAGAGTAACATGGCAGAAGAACTGAGCTCTGGAGAAATCCCTCAGTCTCCCCTTTCTGAGAAGCCCAGGGTCTGTTCTCTATTTCCTTGTAGGGCTTGGCTCAGTGCTTACTGCTCGGGAAGCTCAGATAGGTCTGATAAATAAATGAGAAGCAATAGTATAGGTTGGAGTATATATTATTTGGAGGGAGCCATTTGGTTTAAAACTAATTTGGCCTAATCTTTTTCCAAAAGGGCCTGATGTGGCCTGTTGAGCATGCATTGTACATCTGCTTTAAACGTTTACTCTGTCCCAAAGACAAGAATGATGCCCTTAAAGATAGAGATGTAACTTTCCCCCATATTGGCATTTCTTTAAGGATATGCATCTCTTCCTGGAAACTAAGGATTAATTGCTGACCTGCTGTGCTCACCTTGTGAACACTGCCCTGCTGACCACCGACCTGCTGTGCCAGCCAAGTAACTCATCACAGTAGTAAAAGGGACATTCCTATCATATATGATCTATGCTCTTTGTTCCAAGACGGTTATATACCCCACTTCTTTGATGCACTTCCTTCCTTGGGGAAGGAAGGCCCAGGGCTATAGTCCTCAAACCTGGCTCATAATCAACTCACCCCAATTTTGATTTGTAGATTAATTATGGATTATTTGTGTCGACAAGTCATACTCATGCTGATGCTGTGATTTCTTCATCTGAGCCTCAGGGGATCTTCTGGCAGGAGGAACTGGCTTTCTTTCATGTCATACAATTGTCACACCCCACCAAGGAAGCTGGTACCACCCTATGCTCACCAGATAAATAACCCAAGTTCTGTCAGAGCTTGTCACTCATCTTGGGAGCTGCTGGAGCTGTGATTCAGTCCACTGGACTTTCAATAAGGGTCTTTCCTTGCTAGCCGATAGCTAGAAAGTCGTCTGACTCTGGAGGCCTCCCTCTCAGTGAAGGGATGTGGCCATGCCAGGCTGGCTCTGAGTCTTGTCCTGTGTGGGGCTAGTTGCTTCTCACTGGGGAGCTGCTAGGGTCCTGACAGAGCCGCCCTGGCACGGGACCCTCCCCTGCTCCTAGGCAGAAGCAGATGCCGTTGAGAGGAGGGAGGGCTGCTGGGAGGAGGAGACACAGGTATCAGGGCGGTATGGGGTATTTAAGGCCAAAAGTCATGCTGGCCTTGGAACTTCTAGGGAGATACTGTCACCGGCTGGATCTCTATGTGGAGGAAATTCTTCCTGATCTCCCCTCCCTCAGGCTGCCTTGAAGTTTATTCTCAGGAGGTGGCTCAGATTTTTCTGACTAGGGCTTTGTGTCAGGCCAGGCTTCCCAGCTCCCTGTGCAGAATGAGGACCTTGGGAACCAGTGTCCTGGGAAGGTTTTGGAAACATCTCCTGAGGCTCATATCTCTTATTGCTGTCCCCACAGGTGTTGAGACAACTCCACTATGACAGACGTTCGAGGAGTCCCTATCCCTGAAAGAACCCATGAAGCAGGTGACGTTGGGATGGAGCCCTAGAGGCCCAGGACAAATGCACTCAGACCTGTCTCTACTGAACACCTCAGCATTCTCTGCCCCTCCCTGCATACAGCCTTTACCACCCAGTGCTGTCCATCTCCCACTGGACTGTGAGCTTCCAGAGGGAGGACCAGTGCTTAGTCACTGCTCTAGCTCCAGACCCAACATTGGGCCAAACACAGAGTAGGCTTCAAAAAGCATGGCTGGGCCTTGACACACATGTAGTATGGGACTGATGGTTTACTCTCTTAGACCAGTTACAGCCCTTGCCCTCCTCACTAGAGCCCACAGCTTTACTGGAAAAAAAGGCTAGGCTGATAGGTTACGTGAGTGCTGCCAGTTTTGGTGTGTAAACCCTGGACCTTCTGTCCTGAAGGGCCTGGATTAGATGATCTTTCTCCTAGCATCTAGTAAAGCAGCCTAATCGTAATATTTCTTCATTATTCTTTTCCATTTAAACCTCAGTGAATAAACCTCAGACTGGGAAGGCCTCCGACTTGAGTCAGCAGGTGTGGATCCTTCAGGGTCTGACCCTCATGACGGTTCCACGGAGTGACAGTGTGGCTCCAGGTGACTGGTCATGGTTGGGGGGGGGCGCTGCTGCTCCTCAGAGGCAGCTGCCTTGCCTTAGTGCAGCTGGAATGCTGGCACTCAGCTTTTTGTTAAAGTGTGACTTTACAATGGGCCCGCCTGGAGGGAGGAGAATTTCACACCTGCCTGGGAAGAGATGTCTGTGTTGTTGTTACCTGCGGTCAAGACAGCTCCAACTTCTGGTGACCCTAAGAATGAGTGGTGTCCGCAATGTCCTGTCCTCAACACACCTACTCAGCTTCTGTAGACTCACGCCTATGGCTTCCTTTATGGAGTCAATCCATCTCATATTTGGTCTCCCTCTTTTCCTGCTGCCTTCTACTTTTCTTAGCATTATTGTCTTGGACCAGGGTAAAGAAAACAGAGAGGGTGGAGCAGCCTCCTGGGGAGCAGGAGAGCTCTGTCCAGTGAGCTGAAGGCCTGTCCTGTGGAAGAGGCGTAGCTTGTTCTGCCTGACTTCAACGTGTCCTGAAAGGACTAAATGGGTGGATACTACAGGAAGGCATATTTCCATATCACATTAGGCAAAACTTGCTAATGGACAGACCTCTCCGAGGCTCAGAGGGGCTGCTTGGGGTTGGAGCTTCCCACCTCCAGGTGTTTAAGCCGAGATGTGAAAATCTCACGGACAGGGTCTGCCATCTGTTTAACTCTTTATGTTTGCTCCATTTCCTAGGGCAGTGATTGGCACATGGTGTGAATGAATGAATGAATGAATGAATATGGTGATTGGCCATTTGGTAGGTCTAGGGTAGCAGGGATTACACTCTTAAGGTCTCTTCCAGACCCACCTAGAATATACTAGTCTTTTTCTGACTGTTAAAGGACGCCGACACCATCTCCTCTCTTATCTTTATAGTCACTGTCACCGGTGGCCCCTTGTAAGTATCCAGAGTCTCTTGAGCAAGGCAAAGGGGTTCCCATTTATTTGGGAATACAAGATCCAGAAATGTGTCTGTCTTGTGAGGACGTTGAAGGGCAACCCACATTGCAACTGAAGGTAAGTGACTAAGAAAAATAATGTAAAAAAAAAAAGCCAATTTCTTTTACAAGAAGTGCATTTGGTAGAAAATATAATTGTAAAATTAAAAACGAAATATTCTCTTGTTCTTAAGCATATTTATTCCTAACTCCTTTTGAGTTATGTGCATGTAATAGACTTTTCCCTGATTTATCCTGCCCCTCACTAGTTGAGGACTCTTGTCTTTCTTGAATATTGAGATGTTCTCAGCCATTGTTTCTTCAAGTATATTCTCTCCTTCATCCTGCGTTATCTCTCCTTTTGGAACTCCTATACGTCAGTCATCGATCTCAGTTTAATATCTCATCTAGTTTTCCATACTTTCTATCCATTCATTGTTTTTTCTTTACTTTTCTTTTGCGTGTTGCCATCTGGGAGAATTTCTTGGTTTAATCTCCCAGGTCATGATTACATTTTAAGTCTTGTCCCATCTGCAAAATCATCTTTCTATTGTGTTTTCTGAAATTTCAATCTTTACCATGTTCAATTCTCAAGCTCTCTAGTTGGTTCTTTTTTGTTTGTTTGTTTGTTTTTATAACTGCCTGTTATAAAAAAAACTATCCTTAAACTTCAGTTTCATAAACTTCAGTTTAATTCAATTCAACTCAGTCCAATTCAGTTCAGTTCAGCAAAGATGTGGATTCTTACTGGCCTCCAGCACCGTTGTGGGCATTTGAGATACATCAGTGCACAGAATGGCCAAGAGCCCTGCCTGCATAGGGCTTGGATTCTAATGGGAGGAGAGCAATGGTAAACAATAAGTATAATAATAGGTAATTTTGTGATATGTTAAAGGGTGTTATGTCCCCTGGAAAAGAACAATTAGAGCAAGGTAAAGAGGCTGGCAGTGCCAGAGACAGGTGGAGTCAGGCTGCCCCAATAAACAGTGCAGCAGGCATCATTGGGAAGGTAAGATTTTAGCAGAGAGTAGATGGAGGCAAGGGAGTTAGCCAGCAGGGTGTCCAGTGAGAGCAAGTTCCGCTTGTAAAGAAACCAGTGTGGCAGGAGTGAATTGAGGAAGGAGGAGTTCACAGAGATAAAGGCAGATCATGAAGGGCCCGGCTGGCCTTTGTAAGGACTTTGCCTTTCAATCTGAGCGAAATGGAAAATTATTAGAACGTTTTGAGCAGAAGAGTGACTTGAATAGACATAGGTTTAAAAAGGATAATTTTGGCTGCTAGTTGAGAATAGACTGTGGGGCGCAAGGGTGAAAGTCCTGTGGGAGGCTTTGGGGTGATCTAGGTGTGATTTGATGGACAAGCAGATAAGAAGGGAGATAGGGAGAAGCCAGTCAGATTCTGGAAATTTTAAAAATTGAGGCAACAGGATTTGCTGACAGAGTGAATGGGGAGTGTAATCAAGAAGACGAGGGCTGAGAATTACATCTTCAGCTATGTCCTGTCTGCTAAGCTGCCCTTCTGTTGTGATTTTGTCCTCAGATGGACTGAGAATTGACTGTGGCGTTCAGCAATGTAGAGGTCATTGGGGACCTTAGTGAGAACAGTGTTGGTGCAGTGTTGGAGGCCAAAGTCTGGATGGAGTGAGTTTAAGAGAGGAATTGGAGGAGAGAAATTAGAGACAGCAAATATAGACAACTATTACAAGGAATTTTCTGCAAAGGGGAATTGGGAGAGGTGGTGGGCAATCAAAATAGTTATTCTTTAAGATAGTGGAATGACAGCAAATATGCTGATGGGAATGATTGAGTAGAGACAGCAAAACTGATGGAGTATGAGAGAGCAGGGAGGATGGCTAGAGGAGCATCCTTAAGTTGGTGAGTGCAGATGGGGCCCGTCGCCCAGTCCTTCCCAGGCAGGAAGCTGAAAGTGAGGCTAGAAGGGGAGGTATTGGAGTTCGAAATGAGAAAGTGTCCTTTCATTTATTAAACAGTCAACATCTCTCTACTGAGTTTGTACCTGTTAAGGAATACAGTGATGAACAAGTCTGGCAATAATTATATGATTGGTGGATAAATATGCTAAGTTCAGAGATGGATTGGAATTAATGAAGAAAATAACCTGGTTATGAGATAGTCATTGGTTGGAGGAGGGGTTTTGAGACCTACTTTGGCTAGACTGTTCAGTGAGGTTCTCCCCAAGGAGCTGGCATTTGAGCTGAGAGCTGAGTAATGGGAAGGAGCCAGCCACGGGAAGATGCCAGATGCTGGGCAGAGCATCCAGGTGGAGTGAGAGTAAGTGTCAGGGCCCTGGGGCAGGAATACCTTGGTGTCTTTGAGGGGAAGGAAAAAGGCAGATGTGGCCAGAGCGGAGTGAGCATGCAGAGGAGTGAGAGGAGGTAAGGGCAGCAAGGGAGGCAAGAGCTGAATGGTGTAGACCCTGCAGGCTTTGTTAAAGTGTTTGGATTTTATTGTAATTACAATAGAAAATCATACAAGACATTTAAGCCAGAAGGTAACACAACCTTATTTATTCAATGGTTTCAGTTTAAAGTTCACTCACCTGCTTTGTGGAGAATGGATGGTAGGGCATGGAGCAGGTGATAGATTGGGGGTTTGGGAGTGTGTGGGGGTGTGAGAAGTGGCTTGTGCAGGAAATATTTTGGAAATAGAGTTCACAGGCCTTGCTGCTGGGTTTGATGCTGAGGGATCAAGGAAAGCAGCATCAAGAATGACTCCTAGGGTTTGGGCCACCCACAGAATTGGAGAAGTTAACTAGAAGTCATTAACTGAGTAAAAGAATCCTATGGGAGAACTCCTCCACTCAGGGTGGAATGTGGCTGAGTTATGGACCATTCCTATGTCTCTCTGGAGATCTTACACATGTGTGATTTTACTTAGATACGTTTATTTTACCTAAATATACAATATATGCATATACACATATGTACATATGCAGAATATACTTCTATATACAATAAAGAAGACATTTTGATTGCTCTATTTGCTTTGTTCCTTTGGATGCAAATTCTTCGATTTGTTAGACCCTCTTGTGTCTTTTTCGTGGCATTGACCTTTCTCGCATGTTGGCAGTTAGTCAGAGACCCACTCCCCCGGCTGCCCATGCTTTGTCAGAGCAGTGCTTCTTGCAGGGTGGTGGCTCTCGCTGGGCAGCTTTGGTAAGGGAGGTCCTTGGCTTACTATTGCAAATTTGCATCTCCTTCCTTTTTCTGGGGGGACCACTCAGCCTCTTTTGTAAGGAGAATTCCAATTTATTGTTCAAGGGTGGCCACTTGTTCATTAATCTGTCTCCTGTGTCTATCCTATGCCATCTCTAGGTTTGAGGCTGGGGGCTGGAAAGGTGAGGTTTCTTGCGTGTTCACTCTGCTGCTCCTTTGAAATGTGTTTATCTAGGCCTGCTCTGATTGATAGATAGATAAGGTTTTCTCAAGCTTTGCAACACTTAGTAGTTGTGTACAGGCAACCTTGAACTACTCAAACAGCCTCTGCTTCTCTTCCTGGGCCTTCTCTGTCACACTGCAGGATCAGAAGATACTAGATCTGTACAACCAAGCTGAGCCCGTGAAGCCCTGCCTCTTCTACCATGTCAAGACTGGCGCTACCTCCACCTTTGAGTCCGCGGCCTTCCCCGGCTGGTTCATCACCTCCTCCGAGAGAGGCCAGCCCATCTTCCTCACTTCCGACCAGGGGAGAATGTATAACACTGCCTTCAACATAGATTTCAGTGTTGAACTCAGCCGGGAGGTGGCAGCTTAGTCAGAGGTTTTTGTCTTACATTTTCTAGTTCCCAGTGTGTTTTCACCTATATTATGACCGTGTCATTTCACATCAGTGCTGAGAGGTGAGCTGGGCTCTTTTCTCTTCTCGTTTATGAATGGAGAAGAAGCGATGCCTTCCTGAGAACCGAGGAATAGAATGTGGGCTCAGAGCAGGAGGGAGGGGTGATGTAAGGCTCTCCTCTCAAGCTGAAGCTTTCCAGCCCACAGGCCATTTGCATGAGCACGTAGGGACCCGAAGACGATAGAGCCTTCTCCCGGCGTGGACATGAAGAAGAGCTCATGCGTCTTACCCAAGATCGCGTGGCCAGCGTGGAAATGATCGTTGTGTTTTTTTTTGCTTTCTTTTCTTTCCTATTTGGATTACATTTTCCATATTCCTTATTGGTTGCCAGTACACCTCAAAGTGTGTAATACGTCCTTTTAAGGGTTAGGACATTTTAAAGAAAAATAATTTTTAACAAAAATTGAATTAAATTATTTTTGTCCTAATTCTAACGTGTAAACATAAAGCCAAATAGAAACGTCATGTGTTCATACCGTAAAAAGACTAAAACAATTATAAAATGAAATAGAAAACAAAGAGTAACCTGAAATGAACAGGAGGAGTTGAATGGGGACGTCACAGTGGGTGAGCCCAGGACTGGGGTGAATCTGGGGGAGAAGTGACAGGGATCCGTGGTGATCGGGTAGGTGGGAGGTTAAGCATGTGAAAGGCACTGCTAGCTGACTGCTTTCTTTACAGTCTCCCACCTTTGCTTTCCTCCTGCTTCCCCTAGTCTTTTTCCTTTTAGGTAGACTCACAATCCATATACTTTCTTTAAAAACTGCAGTGAAGTTGCCTTTTTCGGGAACAGACAGCCTAGCTTTCCCCCCAGCCATGCTTCAGATGATGTACTCTGATGAAATTTAATAACTGATTTGTCGGTATAACTGGAGAAAGCTGTAGCTCAGGTCTGGCTCTGTACGTGATAGATTTCTTATTTCCCCTCTGATGCTACAAATGCAGAATATTCTGTTTGCTTAAATACAGTCTCCGAAATAGCACCAGTAACTTAAGTTTTTTTTTCCCCTGCTTTTGGACAATCAGACCACATACTCTATTAGGCATGCCAGTAAGCTATCAGTAAGCATTGATTTAATGGAATGCCTCTTGATTCTTTAAAGTGTTCTTCTTTAATTAAATATATTTTTAGGGGGCTGGCCTGGTGGCATAGTGGTTAAGTTTGTGCGCTCCACTTTGGCGGCCCGGGGTTCGCAGATTCGGATCCCAGGTGCAGACCTACGCACCACGCATCAAGCCATGCTGTAGTAGGCGTCCCACATATAAAGTAGAGGAAGATGGGCACAGATGTTAGCTCAGGGACAATCTTCTTCAAGCAAAAAGAGGAAGATTGGCAACAGATGTTAGCCCAGGGCCAATCTTCCTCACCAAAAAAAAGTATACATATATATAATTTTAGCATTGAAGTTTTATAAAAATCAACATTAAAATAGGCACTAAGCTAATTAGTTTTAGAATATCAAATAGAAGAATTAGTCACTGGGTGTTTACTACTGTACTCACTGGCAGATGTAACAATCTGCCAATTTACATACATATGTTGTCAATTGTTACCCCTGACAATCGGGATCTGATGACACATTTGCTGTAACATGATTATGGTTCTGAGTGCTACAGCATGGCCATCCTACCACAGGCTGTGTGATGATTCAGTTTCCCCATCTCCTTTCTCTGCTTTGAAAACTTTCTTCACGCAGTCACTGTGACTCCTTGGCTTGTCACTTGGCATAGAGGTGAGCTCAAACAAAACTTCAAATATGAGTCCTGGTGTCATGTAGCTGGGTTCAAAGGTGAAGTGGTCATCCATCCTGTTGATCCAGAAGAGGTTCTGATAACATATTTTGAGTGTAATTAAAATGAAAACAGGGGCCGGCCCAGTGGCACAGAGGTTAAGTGTGCGCTCTGCTGCGGCGGCCTGGGGTTCACAGGTTCGGATCCCAGGTGCCCACCGACGCACTGCTTGTCAAGCCGTGCTGTGGCGATGTCCCATGTAAAGTAGAGGAAGATGGGCATGGATGTGAGCCCAGGGCCAATCTTCCTCAGCACACAAGAGGAGGATTGGCATCAGATGTTAGCTCAGGGCTGATCTTCCTCACACACACACAAAAAAAATTGAAGACACAATAATCTCATGGCTTGTGGAACCCAGAGAAGAGATTTCTGTGGACTCCTGGTTTACTCATCACATTTGAGAAACACTACAATATGGCATAGCGTATGAAATCATGGAGGGCCCCTGTGACTAGCAACACCCTCATTTCCAGATGATTGCCTGTGCACATCTGGTTTTCACACATTTGCCATATCAAATGCTCTTGCATTTGAGTACCAGGAGCTCCAGGCGAACATTGATTGAAGGATTTGGTTTGTTGGGGGAAGAGGGAGAATCCCCCTCTGCCCTTTTCCTTAAGGTTCTTATGGCTGGCCAAATAATTAACAAGACAGGCTAGCAGGAGAAAATAATACCAAGTTTAATAACATGTATACATGGGATAAACTCAGAAATGAACAACTCATCCCTCTATCTAAGCTGCTTGCTTAAGTATTACAGCTAAAGACGAGGAACGTGTTGGGGGCAGGTAGTGGCCTGGGACTTCAGAGGGCAGGAAGACAATTCTTTTCAGGGTCATCTATAGATAATGTGGTCAGGGAGAGACAGAGTTTTTGATAAAAGGGGCTTGGTGCCTTTTCTATTGTAACCTCTATCCTACATTATCTTTACAGCCATCATGATAGAAGATCTGTTCCAGGAAGGAGCCACCATGTCAAATTCTTTAGGCAGTTAGTGGGGGAGGTCAAATGTCCCTCAGAGAAAACAATCAAGGTAAAGAGATAGATTTCAGGGTGGCCAAATCTTGATCTCCCACAGGTTCCTTTGGATCTTTAGCAGCTAGGTGCTGTTGAGGGCCTGATGCAGTGGGCGAGGGGCTTTTGAATTCTAGAGGAGGAATCAAGAACCTTGCTACCAAAATCACAATTGCAGAGAAAACAGTTGAGTGGGATATTTCTCTGTCAAGCTGCTTTGGGGCTAATATCTCCTGGCACCAGGACCCCTGAAGGGCAAAGGCTGCTTCCTGAAGCTGGACCTGAAGACACTGTCCTTTAACTCGTGAACAACTGGCCGTGGGGACTGAAGATGCTGCCCCCAGCACCCTGAGGACAATGGTTGTACTTAATAATTCTTCATGTCAATAAAACATTAATTTTTATTTCTGAGGCTCTAAAAAGTTGTTTAAAAGAATATTCTTACCAAAATAATACATGTCTGTGGGTAAAAGCAACATTCTCCTGTCCCAGTACTATTTCCGTGAGGCAACTGCTAACTCTTTTCAGCTCTTTTTCTGTTCTCCTCCAAGCGTCTAGGTATATGCTTTGTTAAAAACAAAATTTCAACCACGTAGATTTGAAGATCTAAGTGGCTTCATTCAACGATTCATGAATGGGGCAGCATCCCATCTAGCAAGCAGAGAGATACTCCGAGGAGTTGTACAAGTTGGAAGCTTTCATAAGCAGAAGGAGGGTGGGGTAAGGAAGTTATTAGTGAAACAAAAGAAAGGATTGTTTCAGGCCAGGACATCTTCTTTTGGCGGGAAGGGAAAAGCAGGGTTTTTTTTCATGCAGATTACCTCACCAGTGCTCATCAGGAAATTTCAGATTGACTGTTAACAAGGTCACATTCCTGGGATAGGTTGAATCTGTCATTAAGTCTTGATTTGCTGTCCAAATGACTGCATTTGGGGCCTGTTATTTCTTTTTTAACAGCTTGCACTTCTATTTCTTTACTTTTCTTTCTTTTTTTTTTTTATGAGGAAGATTAGCTCTGAGCTAACATCCGATGCCAATCCTCCTTTTTTTTTTGAGGAGGAAGATTGGCCCTGGGCTGACATCTGTGCCCATCTTCCTCTACTTTATATGGGACGCTGCCACAGCATGGCTTGACAAGTGGTGCATTGGTCTGTGCCTGGGATCTGAACCCGCAAACCCCGGGCTGCCGAAGCAGAGCACGTGAACTTAACTGCTATGCCACCGGGTCGGCCCCCCGCAATTCTATTTCTTGAAGTAACAACTTTAGACATTATCTTTTCTACTAGATGGATGTCATTTGCATCTCTACTGAACAAAAATCATATGCTCTTTGCCTGTTAATAGTAAGCAGTAAGTCAAATAAAGTTGCTTTTATAGAGAGTGAGATGAACCTTGGGTGGGCCTGTTAGACAATGCTCTAGTATGACATTGAAAAGGCACGCAGTGATCTTTTTGCCTTTTTTTCAAGATTTGGATAATTTTCTTAGGGACATAATCTCCTTCAGCCTTTTCATTTTATGAGTGAGAAAAGAGAGGTACATGGAGTAGACATGACGATGAGGGTGGCACTGACATTTAGTAACAGAACTGGAAATAACGATACTCTTGATTTTGGTCTTTCAATTTCTGTCTCCTGGACCTGGGATGTTACGAAACACTGTGTGAGAAATCAGCAGCAATTACCCAGAGCAAGACAGCAGAGCAAAGTGTGAGCCACCCTCTCCCATCATTGGGGCTGTCTTTATCTAGCAGGGTGTCAGCAGATGACCCAACCAGGGCGGAGTGCCCTTGGCCATCTAAACATATGTGTGTATGTATGTATGTTATTGTGGGAGATCAAGATTTGGCCACCCTGAAATATATCTCTTAACCTTGATTGTTTTCTCTGAGGGACATTTGACCTCCCCCACTAACTGCCTAGCGATTTGACATCATGGCTCCTTCCTGGAACAGATCTTCTATCATGATGGCTGTAAAGATAATGTAGGATAGAGGTTACAATAGGAAAGGCACCAACAAGCCCATCTTATGGGAAGTTCTGTCTCTGGCCACATTCCCTGGATGGCCCTGCGAGGAGTTGCCAGACAAACATTTACGTTTATAAGGGAAATCTCCATTTGTAAAGGTATCTCCCTCTCTGTATTGGGAAGAGGGGGGTATGACCTCATTTCTAGAGACTTATCAATGTGGAAGGTGAGGCCTTAAATCTGCATAATAACCTTACTCTTGTTTACTGTGCTTTAGTGGTAATCTCCTGTGCTTCTACGGAAATAGAGAGATACATAGAAATTTATACTTTTTGCTGATTTTGTTGACATTTACTTCTCTAAGGTTGTTCTCACCTGAGTGATTTAACAGTGAATTGAACAAAATGACTTGTATAAAAATATTCAAACTCTCAAATAAAATTTCATAATATCTCAAGCTGGAAAGAACCTAAATTTCCATTAGTGGGTGGATGGATATGTGATATATCCATACAAAGGAATACTACTTAGCAATAAAAAGAAATGAACCACCAATAGACATTCAACTAGATGAATGCCAAAAACATTATTGAGGATGCCAGAGGATGCTCATATTGTATGATTTTGTTTATAAGCAGTTCAAGAATAGGTAAAACTAATCTATGATGATAAAAATCAGAACAACAGTTGCTTTGGCAGGAGTGAGGACAAATAGGAGATTCCTTTCTACATTCTGAAGGAAAATGATTTCCATTGTAGAATTCCACTCCCAGTCAATCTATCAATTAAGTATAAGAGTAGAATAAAGCTATTTTCAAACAAGCAAGACTTATCTCCTATGTACTTGTACTTGAAGAGCTACTAGAGAATGTGCTCTGCCTGAACAAAGGATTGAGCTAAGAAGGACAAAGATACAGGCTCCTGGAAGCAGGGATCCCAACCAGAGAAAAACAACACGAGCCTGCAAGATGGTTGTAGAGGGAGAGCCCGGGAGACAGGCAGGCAGAGTGAAGCTATTCGTGGCTCAGGGGCATCAAGGCAGTCAAGCTGATAACACACCTGACGTGTCTGAATGAATTGAGAAGAGATTTCAGCAGTGGGGAAAAATTGGGGGCTGATAAATTACACAGAAAAATAAATGAAAACCAACAAAAATAAGGCAGGTCTTAATTCCAGGGAAAACATTAAGTTATTCAGGGGAGGAAATATAATCATAGGTTACTATATGACCCAACCGTCAATAGTGTTTACATTGTAATAATAATATAAACTCTGTATGTGATCTATTCAAAAGTACGACGTAACTATTTTGGGAGAATGCATAGATTGAAGGGTGTGTGTGTGTGTGTGTGTGTGTGTGTGTGTGTGGTAGCAGGGGGCTAGGTGAGTTGTATATGAAAGTGTTAAACCTTTATCATTCATATAAGGACGTCACACATAATGACCAAAACTGAAAAGTCAAGAAGTAGCAGCATATTCATGGTATTTAGAGAGATGGAGGTAAATATAAAAAAGAATCAGTTAAAAGAATTAAAAGTAGTTGTCTCAGAGTAGCAGGAAATAGTAACTGTTCTGTTTTATAATAAGACTTGTATTACTCATTGAGTTTTTAAATTATGTGCAAGTACAATTTTGATAAAACTAAAAAAAATCTATGGTTCCGTAGAGGCTAGACAGCCCTGGTAGTCTGGTGGTTAAGAATAGTGTGTGTGGCTGTGATGCTGAAAGCTATGCTACTGATATTCAAATACCAGCAGGGTCACCTATGGTAGACAGGTTTCAGTGGAGCTTCCAGACTAAGACAGACTAGGAATAAGGACCTGGCCAACCACTTTGAAAAAGCTGGCTATGAAAACCCTGTGAACAGCAGCAGAGCATTGTCTGATACAGTGCTGGAAGGTGAGAGGATGGCACAAAAAGACCAGGCAGGGTTCCGCTCTGCTGTACACAGGGTTGCTAGGAGTCAGAATCCACTTGACAGTGACTGTATTGGCTGGGCTGTGTCTTGAAAAGGCAAAATAATATTTAGCTGAGTACATGAGATGCCAGGAGGCAAGATTCCATGTACAGTCTTTTTTCCTTACCTCTCTGAAATCTCCTTCTATCCTATGGGTTGGTAACCAAATCTCATTCCTAGGCTGCAGGGGAATAGGCACATATATCCATGGGGTGGTGACAGGGGTTGGGGGAGAGGACAGAAAAAAAAAGGCTAGCTCTTCTCAGCATCACAGTGGTGAACCTCCCCCACCCATACCTTTGTGTAAGTCAGCTTATAGAAATGAGTCATCACTGTTGGTGAGACCCCTTCCTAGAGGCTGGTGAGGCCTGGAAAATCAAGGGCAACATTTAGATGAAACTTTTGTTCTTGGAAACGAAAAGATCAGAGTCAAGAGGACTGGTGGAAAATTTTATTTTTCTATATGAAAAACTCAGGCTGTGTTCATGGTCTTTCAAAAATGATGTTTTCAAGTACATCATCAGTTGTCTAACACTTAACATTTGAATTTAAAATAGTTGTCCTTGGTCAATATACTCTCTTTGTTTTAAGCGAATCATGATTGTTAATTTTGCCAGTGGGCTGGAGGCCATAGACTGGGGAAGTGGTCTTTCTTTTTCCACACTGGAAGGATGTACCGTCGCTCTGCCTGCAGGACCTCACCCTGAGGTTGCCTAGATTGAGGCCCAAGTCTATGGAGAGGGCCCAAGTGTTTTCATTCTTCATGAATCCATGTCTTTGGATTGTAATATCTGGATATCTATACTTAAAACTTTCATAAATGATTTTATTTTATTTTTTCTCTTTGTAAAATTTAGATAAAAGAATTTCTGGCTTTCCCATATGGGTGAATTTACTTTTTCAAGTAAATTCTTTTTTTTAGTGATGTCTGGTTTATTTCTACCTTTTAAGTAATTAATATTTTAGCTTATTTTGTTTTGTTTTATATATGGCTTTAAAAATAATTGTTACATACGGCTTTTAAAAAAATTTTTATAAGAATTTAACAAAAGAATGAAATTATGGTAAACACTCTATAAATGATAGCTATTGTTGTTGCTGTTGTGTTATTCTTATTGTTTCCAGGAAATCTCTTCCAGACCACTTTCTATGTTTTACAATAAATATTGAGTAGGTATGAGGGAATATTTATAACAAATATATCCAAGATATGAATAAAAGGGACCCACATGAACGCGTCACCAGCTGAAAAAAGAGAGCGAGGACCTTTGGCACCCACATGTGTTCATCTTCCGTCATATCCCCTGCCCTCCTTCCCTCAGATGTAACTGTCATCCTAAATCCGATGGTTGTTATTCCCTTGCATTTTGGTATAGTTTCACCACGTATGTATATGTCTCTAAAATAGATATTATTTAGTTTTTCATGCTTTAAAACTTCATGTATGTGAAATCATACTGTTGGTATTGTTTTTTTTCTGAGGAAGATCAG